TCCCTACAGGTCATCAGCTTCCTCTGATGCTATATTTTGTCCCCTATATAAACACACAGAGATTTGAGGTCATGCCCATTCAGAAATCAGGTTATGCAAGATAATTTAAAACTTGAAAAATTAGAGAGAAATGGGAGTAAGAAGCTTAGGCCTGATGCAATCCAAGCAGCTGGCAAAACAGTCTCCTCAGACTGCAGAGGGAAATGATGTAACCAAGACGACCTGAGAAACCTACAGTGCAGGACAACACTCACCACCTCTGTCACTCTCATGGCCGAGGTCAATGCCTTGCATCAGTGTCAGACTGACAAGAGATGTGTTATAGACTCACAAAATGTACTGCAAATGCTGACAGCTGGGGAAGAGGGAGAGGCAACCACAAAGATGGTGATTTGTCACTGTTTCTGTTGTAAAACCCTGCTCTCAGGGCATTGGAAGTGACTTGTTTCTGTTCTCCTGTTGCATTCAGAGAATCCCAGCTAAAAAGTAAACAAGTTTTCTTCCAAACAAGAAGTTGCACTGGGCTTTTAGGGCTCCCTCTATGCTCTAGGATGAATGCAGTTACATATTTAATGTCTTCCCTCACCATTCCCAGACTTAGCAGTCTGTCTCAAGATGGGCGAGAACCAGTAGCAAACACCACTCAAACTGACACCCAGAGCAACTTTCATTTCCTATCTAACATTCCCCACTGGGTTTCCATACAATCTCAAGCCTGACCTCTGGCACGCCACCAAAGTGGCCCAAAAACACCATGAAGGGGTGGTACTTACTCCCAAAACTCTGTGACAGGAGAGGTGAAGTTAGTGGCATTCAGTGATATCCAGAGTGTCTTGTTCTTCCTGAGAGTGTCTTCCACGCAGGTTGGCGTGTTCCACTTCTGGTGGCAGTGTGCCCATGGCAGGACGCTCTGGAACGACTGGAACAGGTAGTAGAGTCCCCAGGCCAGGATCACAATGTAGTACACGTTCAGAAGGGACACAATCACTATGGAAGCATAACCAATTCCTGGCAAGAGAGGGAGAGAAAAGAAGTATGTGCAGACTTGACAGCTGCTTCTTCCTAGGGCACCTTGTGATCTTGTGGAGCTGGTGCTATTCCCATTGCATCGTGCATTTGATGTATTCTGCTCTACCACACTGCTGATGGAAACTCAACTCAACCCAACTAAATTCAACTGAACTGAGCTCAACTCAACTCAATCACACATAAGCACAGACCTGCCACCATCTCTAACTAGCACTGGCACTCAGGTCTGAGTTCTGGCTACGGTTTGCTCACACTAGAGGAGAGGTCTGCAGGATGTCTACCCAATTGAACACTAACCCACTACTACTGAAATAGCCTACTAAGACTATTTCAAGTCTTAGTAGAAGGAATTCAAGTCATCACACTTTGCTTATTTGGAGCTACATCATCTCACTTCTTAGGTACCTATGTGGGCAACCTCATTCTTGCCACACTGATTCCCAGGCCAGCTTCCTCGGAGGCAGCCCCTGCACCACTCACGTTTACGGACTGGCTCAGCTCAGCCTATGTGCAAAGGAAAACAACAAAAAAGGCAGTTCTTGAATGAGCTAAAAAGGAAAATTCCAAAGCTGTCAATGCAAAAGCTGCTGCTTCAGCACCAGTTTCACTTGTGCAAGGGAAGCGTGGTATTTGTAGCTCTTATGGTTAATTATATCAACGTTTAACTCTACTTACGAAGTTTGCCACTTAGGAATAAGAGGGAGAAAAATAGATTTCCTTTAAAAACTTAAAGCAGCCTCTTACAAGAGGACAAAAAGCCTATGAGGTTCCCTTTACCGTCACTTTGATGGCTACCCCAGCACCTGGGATACCTGCCTCATGTTTTACAGTTTCAAACCTTATTGCAGCAGGAAATTTACCCCCAGAGATTAGTTTTATGCCAGGTAAAAACAAGCAGAGCAAGTGCTATTTATTCTGTACAGCTGCCTTTCACTCAGGATATACAGCTAGTCACATTATCAGAGCTGCAATTTCTCTTCATGGATGCCTAGGAGATTGCTATTTAAACAAGGAACATTCCTTCCTCCTCCTCAAACAAAAAAAGTGGGAGGAGGAGGAAGAAAATGGAGCTAAAGTAGCACAATTACATCAACTTCGTCAGCGTTCTGAGCAGTAGGTGGGAGTGTGAGCCACGGAGAAAGCCCTCACTTCAGCTTGGGGTGACATAAGGGGAAAGAGATGCCTGGAACAGCAGTGGTGGGTGTGCAGGAGACACGTCAGTGTGAAGTGCCTACTCGTTCCAAATGGGATTTGAGGAGGGCTGCTGTGTTTAGTGTAATTATTCCAAACGACTCTGCCTGTGCTGTCCGGCTGTGCATGGTAATCCATACACGCGAGAGGCATCGTCGGTAACGTTTCTAACCTCTCTTTCATTCTTCATTCTAGTTAAATTCCAGAGCAACATTCCTGTAATTCCTAGGAGCAGTCAGTGGTTCTTCACTCACTGGCAAAGGCTCTTCAATAACATCAGACCAACATGCCTGTTTCTCAGGACCTGCTCAGTTGTGACAAAAGTCCTGTTCCTCAAGCCTACCAAAAAATGCTGTCCAGGTTTTGGCTGTACCAGTAACAGAAGGATGATGCCAATGACAAGCTTTCATGTGGCAGAAGGATTTTGATTTCCAGACCAGTATAATACTTTGAAGATGCTTTCATGAATGCCACCCAGCCTTCCCAACCAACACGTTCTCTGATAGCTGTGAACAAAATGTGCATTTGCCTTTTTAAGGCACAATATACAATTTCTTTCTTGCTTATCAGCAGTTCTGCCAGTTAGCAAGATGATAGCATCAAAATCAATACCTTACTTTGTCCTTCAGACTCTCTGACTTCTACCTTTCCAGGAACCAATATTATACTCTCAATTACTACAGCAAATAGCTGAATTAATGGACATGAGGGGAATAGTGTTGCTGCACATGGTTTACAGAGGTGTCTTGAAGCAGGAAAGCACAACAAGATATACTAACCAGTGAAAATAGGGCAGATCTTTTCCCAGCATGTGATTCCACCTTCAGAGGTATACTGTCCTAGCACCACCTCCAGGAAGAACACGGGAAGACCTCCCCCAAACAGGAAAATGAAATAAGGTATAAGAAATGCACCTGTTGAGAAAATATGAGAGCACAAAATTGAGATGACGTGGGAGAACTTACACAAGATCGTCTAAAAGGTGGTAACAGGCATGTATAAACAAATGAACATTCGATGCTCTAATATCAGTATGTAATAATCTCATTCTGGGGTATTTTGCTCATATTCTCTGCAAGAGGAATGGGTGTACATGTATCTGGAAAGGGCATTTTCTCACCTTTTTGAAGTGAAAATCTGGACAGAGTCTTGGGCGACATGGTTTAGTGCGAGGTGTCCCTGCCCATGGCAGGGGGGTTGGAACTAGATGATCTTAAGGTCCTTTCCAACCCAAACTATTCTATGATTCTATGATAATAACAATGGGGTTAGGCACACAACAATTTTACATGGCTCAGAATGCTCTTGTTCTTATAGCCACTGGCCTGAAATGCTACCAGTTTGTATCAACAGACTATCTTTAGGTTAAAACTCAGACTCAGTAGCAGCAGAGGTAAAAGAGCAGAAAAGGTTCTTTAAAAGGTCAGAAAAGTGTCAGCAGGGTAACATTTTAAATTGCTTTTGGTTTTCCCTAATTAATTTTTAACAAACACTATTAAATAATCAGACAATCAACTGGGTTGGGAAAGACCTTTAAGATCATCAAGCCCAACCACTACCTCAGCACTGCCAAGGCCACCCCTAAGCCATATCACTAACAGCCTCATCTACATGATTTGTGAACGCTTCCAGGGACAGTGACTCCACCACTGCCTGAACACCCTTTGGGGAAGGAATTGTTCCTAATCTCCAGTCTAAACCTCCCCTGGCGCAGCCTCTCCTGAAGAGTGGGCAAAAAGGCAGAGAACAGATGTGGGAATATTCCTTTAAGAAGAGGACAGAGGCACTGGAAAACACTAAGCATCAAGGCAGATTGGTTCATGAGGACAAAATCAAGGAATACCCACCTCCGCCGTTTTTGTAGCAGAGATACGGGAACCGCCAGACGTTGCCTAAGCCAATGAAGCCCCCAGCCACGGACAGCAGGAAGTCGATCTTGCTCGCCCACTTCTCCCGCTGCGGTGGCTTTCCTTCTGCCTCGTCCTCAGGCCGTGTCCCCGGGCTCTTGCCAGGGGAGGGTTTGAGGATATCCTTGTGGAAATCTTTCAAGCACTGAAGCTTTTCCTTTGTTGCCATATTTCTGCTTTCTACATAGAGAAAAGATAAAAAAATAGCCTGGGTTTGTTAAGCAGCATTTACTGGTAGAGCTCTAACACTGCAAGAACTGTTCAACCGAAGTCATGCCATAAAAACCAGTGCTGTTTATCAAGCTGAGATATGAAGGGACATCTGCTGCCCTCATTGACCAGGAGAGACAAACCACCCTGGACGCTGTGGTCACCTCTTTGCTGCCAGTGCAGTGTAGGGGATAGCAAAGGTTTGACACTGCTGCCTACCTGCTGCCTGCAGACAAAAGGTGTACATAGAACGCACACCGCATCAGTGACTGGTGTTACTGAGCACTCTCATGATGCTTCCATGCCTCTAATAAGGTACAAATCACTGCATATGATTCCTTCTCAAACATTTAAGTGAAATACAGCAGAACAGTAAATCTCACCTTTCCAGACAAAACCCATTCCTCTATTTCCCAATAACCTGAACCATCCTGTATCATTTATTGCCTGCAATTTCCTTTCCCTGAAGTATCATAAAGCTTTCAGAAAACTATACATTCATAAAAACTGGAATGGAAAGCCACTTGTTCTAATCAGCCTACAGGAACTGAAGGAATCTTTTCAGTTTATTCCATTTTCATAACTGCACTGTTTTCCCTTGACATCAATAAAGGGACAAAAATAAACCTTTATATTCAATTATTGTCTTTTACACACTATGCAATTGAACTGTTTGCCAAGAATGATGGCTCCTTAGTTAATTAAGAAGTCGGTGGCATGAGTCACCTGATGCAACCCCCAAAGCATATTAAATCAAGGATGGCTTTATAATTTACATATAATTTACGATGTTCAAAAATCATAGACTAGGTAAAAATAGCAACTGAAAGAACTGCTCTAACAAGTGCCTTTTTACCCAGGGTTTCCTAATGAAAACAATTTAGGAATAACTTGTAGCTTTTATGTTAACTCAGATCTCAGGCATATGAGGCCAATTCATTCCCAACTTAACTCCAGAGACTTCAGCTGGATCTGACCAGTTCTTTTTTGCAGTGTTTTGATACTGAAAAGCATGTGAAATTTTCACCAGAACCAGGCAAACCAGCAAGTTCACTCCAGACCACAACCATTCCCTTCTTGTACGTGCCATTATAGGTGCACAGTCATAAAAAGATCATGCTACAGATTATCCCATTCGATAGCTGCCAGCCTCCCTTGTACCTGCTTGCTGCATTTGCTCTCTAACCTGATTTAGCTTGTGGCAGTGACCCGAAACCTGAATTGACATTAGTTGTGCAGGAAGTTTTCAATCCGAACACGACTGTGATAGATATGCATCACTGTACCCACAGCTCGCTCCATTCACCACGGGGAGTTTCCGAAGGCGAACATTTCTGCAAGCCACACCAGCCCCAGATTCATCCCACCGACACACTGGTGGCCTCTGCAAAGCAGGTATTGAGACAGCAGTCACCCGGCAGGCCATGACCTAAGAAGGGACTGTAATCTTCACCGTGCTTATCATGATGACTTTCTGCTTTACAGAACAGGGCTGCACAGAGGTGTGTGAGCAACTGCAATATCCCCTGGCCAACAGCAGAGAGAGCTCATAGGAGGAGAAAGTTAACTGCAGGGTGATGGATCACCACCACCCGATGTAGGGGTATGAGGGCTGGACACCTGCGCCTCTGAAGTGCCTCCTGTTAGTCATGGTAGGAAATAAAGTAGTGTACTAACCGAATAAATATGGTAGGGCCAGCTCTATACCAGCCTTCAGGCAGCTAGTTGCTTTGGGGCATTAATTCACAACAGCTACCCTGTGCCCCTAGTATCATGCCTGGAGATGCACAGAGGTGCCGCCAGGAGGGATTCACAGCAGCCTTAAACCTCCCTGGGACATCCACATCTCACTCCAAGCCCCAAACAGGCACCACCCTGCACCATCCCCTGGAGTCATCTCTTGAGAGAGAAGAAAAAGTAAGTAGGTGCAACTGCTTTCCTTCAAAGAGGTACCTACAAGGTGGCTGATGTCCTGCTCTCACTACAACAGCAACCAGGCATGTTGGAAGCCCAATTTCACTTTCTTTTGCTATTTCTGCTGCTTGAAGCCGTATCTTTCATCTCGCAAGAGAATGTCATAACCATCAGGCAACAGGCTATTCTGGGCTGAGGTATGGAGGGCACTCAGACCGTCACTCATGGAAGCTGTTCTTCACAGGGGTTACTGAAACAACTTATCATCAGAGGAAGAAAGTGAGCAAAGGGGAGAGTAACTCACACCTACAGCTCAGGGTAGGCTCTTGTTTTCCAGACAACTTTTCAGTGAACTGCTGGGACAGCCATAAACCTGCTTAACAGGGCACAGAGATACATAGATTTATAGATCCCCGCAGGATTAAGGTTTGAAATAGGAGCTTAACTGCTCCCCGTGGGGACTGATACTGGAAATACCCCAAAACAGAGCAGGGGGGCACGTGGGCTACCTTTGTGTCAGAAACCCAAGGGGACCTACAGGCATTGCCCAACTCCAAGATTAAAAACTCTTCCAGGACCTCAGTTTTGTGCAACCTGCTTTTATCCTGCCACACAGAGTTCTTTCTTTTTCCACCAGCTCTAATCTTCTTGCCTGCGGATTTACTCTGACCCAAGTGTGACTCAGTTCCACTCGGGCTTTGCAAGCCTGACCGATTGATTGCATTCTGCAAACCCTAACAAGGGGACAAGGTGATCACCCTGGGGCTTGTCCTAATTACCCGCATGCACAGTGTGAAACGGTGCCTCTATCAGACTCCTGCTCCGTCACTGTGTGGGGCTGCATGTTAAAAAGGGATTTCTAATTTGCCTTAAGACACCCCCAAATTAATGGCCATGCTTGAAAACCTAATTACTGAGTGTAAATTTGGGTTCTGCCTTAGCTGGAGTGTGAAGACCACAGAATCACAAACTGGTCTGGGTTGGAAGGGACCTTAAAGCTCCTCCAGCTCCAACCCCTGCCACGGGCAGGGACACCTTCCACTAGAGCAGGTTGCTCCAAGCCCCTGTGTCCAACCTGGCCTTGAACACTGCCAGGGATGGGGCAGCCACAGCTTCAAGGTGAATTGTGATCTTGAATCGTGATCTTTCCTTTAGCCCAGACACTTCAAATCCTCAAGGTCAGGCTTGCTTTTGGGGTGGCTGTTTCACTGCACAGGTGCCAGGAAATGGGCCACCACCACATCATTGCAAGCCCCCAGCTCTCACTAGCAGGGCACAGTACAGTAACTGCCCAAGGCCTGCACAAGGGTAGCTACAGCCCAGCTTCACTGTGTGTCTCTTATCTAGTCTTGCTCAAGTCCCGGTTGTGTTCCGAGGAGCCGCAGCTGTGGCTGGCAGGCACGTACCGTCCACCAGTACCACAGGAATTGTCGCTAAGTGGCCACCTGGGACTGCGGTCCCAGCCCATGTCACGTTCAAGGGATGTCGGATTTATCCCCCTTTGCTGCCAACCATTGGTGTCCACCCAGCCATTCCCAATTACAGGAACTGTCTACAAAGGCTGCAAGGGTGGGGGGTACGGGCGATTCTCCTTGGCGAAGAAAAGCCAAGAAAATAAAGTTTGTTTAGTGAAAGGCATTGTCTTTTTCCTTAATGGGGTTGGAGTTTCATTTCCTTTAGTTATGTCCCACTGGGTGAGGTTAAAATGGCTCTTAAGGGAAATAGTCTGACAGAGATGCTGAAACAATATGTTGTCACCGCCCAGGTCAGAACCAGAGAATAATAGGTTATTTTTACTGTATCACTTAGTGGGGATGGTATCCGAGATCTAAGTCCATCTGATTCCCCCAAGGAAATATATTGTAAGAAAATGCTCTTACAACCACACAGTCCAAAAGGAGCAATCCAAGTCTGCCTCCCAGACACATACGTCTGCCTTTCCAGGAGCCACATCTGCCTGTGAGAGTACCCCCTCCAGGAAGCTTTGGATGGCCCCAGGAAGCTCTGGCTTCATCTGATGAACTTAATAAGGATAAATAAAAAGCAGCAGTCCAGCCTGCTGTTTACAGCATGCTACCAGAGTCAGTCCAGCCAAACTGCTAGAGCCTGATCCAAAAGCAAGGGGAGAACAGATCTGGACTGTGACAGGCCTAGGATGTGCTCTCATGTACACTGGTACAAACCCCTATTAGCTGAAGATCAGGGAATGGTTTGTGTTGAAGGGACCTTAAAGCTCCTCCAGCTCCAATCCCTGCCCCGGGCAGGGACACCTTCCACTAGAGCAGGTTGCTCCAAGCCCCTGTGTCCAACCTGGCCTTGAACACTGCCAGGGATGGGGCAGCCACAGCTTCTCTGGGCACCCTGTGCCAGCACCTCAGCACCCTCACAAGGAAGAGCTTCTGCCTCAGAGCTCATCTCAAGCTCCTCTCTTTCAGTTTAGTTATTTACTGTCAAATGGATGCTGGTAAAACACTGCAAAGCAACAAGGGAGCAAGCACAGGCACTTTGTGCTTCTCGAACATCTACTCCCCGGTGCAGCCAGAAGCACCTCAAAGGCTCTTCTTCCTCTGCAGGAGAATCACCCATCTGACCCTTGCTCCTGGTGCATAAATCTTCTCATGTGAAATACCCCTACAACACCCCAGGTTCTCTTCCTGCCCTCCGTGACTGCTCAGTCTTTGGTGCACAGCTGAAAATACCAAAAGATTAGCCATCTGCAGAGCGCTGTCACAGCCAACGCAGCCGCGGCCATCTACTGTGCTACAGCCATCCTAACTTCGCACGTCCAGGCTGCACCTCGGATAACCCATACCCTTTAAAAAACACTGACCTTGAAATGTAATCCTTCATAACATGCAACAAATGAGGTGTAAGGGAAGGGGGAGGCAGAGGGATCAGACGATGAGATGCGACGGGAGAAGGCCACCGGCACAAGAGGACCTGCTGGTTGTCAGCACAGACACAACATTACTGCTGAGCCACCGGCTTTTTTTTGACAGACAACCCATGGATCACACATCTGAAAATACACTGTCCAATTTCTACTTTGGGATTAC